CCCCAAAACCCCAAAACCCCAAGGAGTAAAATTTATTTGAGTTTAGTTAATCTTCTTAATATAATAAATAGTAAGCATTTGCCTTAGAGAATTCAAAAATAATTAATTTGATAGTGAATTAAGTATTTCTACTATTACTATTTTTATATACTTAGAACTAATTCATTATATAGATTAATCAAACTTTTACAAAAAAAAAGAACCTAAAATGTCGTTATTCAAGATAAAAATTTTAAGGATATCTTTCATAGTTTTTCTAGTTAAAGACAATGTAAATTGTGATTAAGAATAAAACTTGGCATTAAGTTCTTAAAATAAAATGATTAAGAATCAATTTCTCAAAGATATTGGTGAGGATTATCAAAATGATTTATTCAAGGATGATTAGTGGCACAATTGAAAATTATCATTAGATGAAGTAACCTACAGAGGCTAATACAACTTTGGTCAAACATAAGATTTCATATAAGAGAACTTTGAAATATAAGAAGAGAGTAAAATTTGTTATGAGTATCAATAATTTAGGAATTCTCCAAGAATCATCGACTTGCCCGATATCATAAAAGCATTTCCCTGCATCTGTTGGAGGTGGAGCAGACTGTAGCACACCAACAAATTTAACAGGCATAGATATTGATGGATTTGGTAATTCAGTTATTACTCATACAGTTTATTAAACTCTGGCTGATCGATGCTTGTGGACAGAGAAAGGAAGAACTGTAAGCGGCAATTATTCTTATATTTTAAAGATGGATAAATATGGTAATATATATAAAATTTAGTGTAAATTTTATGATAGGTGATGTCTTATGGAAGCATTACTCAAACTACACAGAATATATCATATAAAACCCAGTCATAGCGTAAAACTTTGTATTTACATCTTTGGAATACAAGAAAGCCTACAGAATAGTGAAATTAGACTATGCTACAGGGGTGTAGTTAGATGATAGAAATTTCGCCAAATACACTCCAAAATTACTTTAAGACATGATAAAATTTCTCTAAGTTGAGGCTGATCAAATAACTCAAGACCTATATGTTTATCTCGAAATTACATCAAACTACTTCAAGACTCTTGGACTTAACTCATTGTCTGGAATCGGTGCTGGCATGCTTATTAAAATGGATCTCAATCTTAAGGTTATGTGGTGGAAAATGATGAATACTTTTGTTAAAGCAGCAGAGTACAAACCTTAAATTTTAAAGCTAGGGGCAAACAATATCTGGGCACTTGCATTTTTCAATACTATTAACTAAATCGTCGATGTGCATATTATTCAAATAGACAAGATTTAAGGAAAACCAATATAGGATTAAATTTATAAGCATAATACTCATCTTTCAACTGCCAAAATTTAATTTAGCATAGATTTCTAAGAATTAAGATGGGCAGCCATATTTAAAGACACATCGAATATTATAAATATTTTGATTGGACAAACCTCTGATATGGCTATTACTTAGCATTTTTAGAAAACCTTAGTATCTTCAAGTAAGAATCAATAAATTGATATATTTAGTGTTTAATCTACATTTCACAAGTGAAGGGCAACTATTAATCTCATGGGTTTTTTAATCTTGTAAATTACCTTCATTTTTATCCTTTTAGAAAGAATATAATGCTTGTTAATGGATATATCTAATGGTAATATTTTAAACTAGCAAATGATATTTCAGAATTTCTTTATCGATACTTCCGCTATGTAAATTTACACTGAATTTTATATAATAAATATTAATTAGACTAATAACTTCTTTGAGAAATGGATAATACTTTTTAGCTTTTAGAAGTTCCAGTCAATTATATGACAGCTTTGGAAATAATAAAGTATCTTAACTCACAATATGATAAACTTTTTTACTAAATCAATTTTAGATTTTAATAATTAGATCAGACGAAAGTCTTGATACTTTGAAATATTCTTGTATTAATACCACTGCAAATACATTAACAGCATTTACAACAAAGGCAGTAGTATAGAGTATATCAACAACTGTAAGAGTTAGTATGGTAGATGTAGCTGAAACAGACACAAATCTAGGTTATTTTTCATTGGACAATAGTGCTATGACTTTAAATTATACTAGCAAACCCTTCGCATTTTAGAGTTGCAACTATCCAATTGCCCAAACAAGCACTTTTGAACTTATTATTGATCAAGGATTGACTTAAATAGAATTCTAAGCAACCGACTGCAGAAACAGAAATTCTGTGCTAACAGGAATAGGGAAATTTTTAGATGGATCAAATTTAACAGGTATAAGTTTAACTCCAAATAAAACTAACAGCCTATAATTAAATTTAACGAATGTGACCTAGTATCAATTATAAGGATCTCGAGTAGTCTTGATATAGTTTGAACTAGAGGGAAGTAAATATGATGTTCCCTTTAGACTAACTACGAAAATTCCCACAAATTTGACTGTGGATCCTACTGCTGAAGTAATACCTTGTGAGGATAAGATATTTCCTTTTTTCTTTGGGTAAACAACTGAGTTATAGATGCTTCATGTGACAATTGATGATTACTCAAATTTTTTAATGGCAGGATTTGCTCGAAATAATTCCTATTCAGATGGACCTTTATAGAATAGAGGTTTTGTTTAGCTAATGTCTCCAAATGGAGTTAGATTATGGCTTTATAAAATTTCATCCTCTATTAATAACTCTGAAGAATCTAGATGCTATAATGCTATGTAGTGGTAAACTCAAATAAGTTTAATATGTACAGCTTATAATATGGCTACATAGAAATATGCTCCGGTATATATTAAGCTTGTACATTTAACAGGGATGTATAATTACTCTCGATGGCTTCCACCAGATAACGTTAATTCTACACTCCAAATACCGATCTCACTTTAGAATTATTACTCATATAGGACTGTTATGATCTATACATACCAAAAGGGAACTGAAAAGGGGCTTGCTTCTTTCAGTATTTATGAAGATGATGAATTAATTGCAGAATGGATGAAATACTATCCAAGTCCTGAGCCTAACTACATTGTGGATATAATTCAAGATTTTGAAAAAGAGTAAATATTTATTGTTAAGCATATCCCATCACAAAATTGCTAAGTGACAAGAATCGATTCAACTTCAGGCAAAATTGTAGGTTAAGTTTAACTAAATTAAGGTACGGCTGATTTAGATAGTAAAGGATCAACCTTAGCTGTTATGAACATAGTTGTTCCATTTTTAGAAAACTCAAGCCCATAGAAAATTCACATTTACATTATTGATAAAGTTGAGCTTACTACTGTTCAAAGTGCTAAAATTACTTTTACTAATTCAATGTTGCTAAGAAGTATTGCAGTCAGTTCTGACTCTCAGAGTAATATTTATCTATCAGGAGGAGGGAATCAACTCTTTTTTGCAAAATTTAACAGTGATTTTACGACTTATACATATAGAATCTTCGAAGGTGGTATGAATGGATCACTTTCAATAAACTAAATATTATCTGAAAAGGATATTCTGTATTACGTTTTTCTAGGAAAGTATATAACAACAGAAAAGGCTTCTACAATAATATTCAAAGATGACAGTCTTACATATAATTGCTTTGCTCCTAGAATTCTCGATAATTCAGATTTAACTTGGTATCCTAATCTTGAAGTACTAAACACTCCAACAGTAAACATAACAAATTTTTTGAAGGAAGAAGTCTTATTTTTAGCTCCTGTAATAGGTGGAAACTCAAGTAGATTCGATTTAAATTTGAATTTTCCAAAGACAAATATTCGGGTGTCAACCTTTAGTTATACAGGCAATAAAATAGATTTATATGATCTTTCGGATGGAACATTTTACAACTAGTATAAGCAATAACCATACTAAGATTAAAAATGCTCAATGGTCGCTGGTTAGGCTAAACTTGTAAATATGACATCTAGAAGAATCTCTGTTTCTTCATAAGCTTACATTTAATTTTACACAGCTGGATAAATTAATTGCTAAGGTAGACTCCTTGAAACTCAGGTGATGGATCCTGAAACTAATACTAATTATTTTAGAATTCCTTATATATATTACGATAATGTAACTTAATACCTAAGAATGTCTGGACCTTTCTTTACATTCTTTATCAGAGTTAGATACATTGATCAATATAAAGGTTTAAAAGGAGGTTATCAAGATAGTTATATTTTTCAGTAGGTTATTAGTCTTGATTACTATTCCAATAAGATTAGTTATGATCTTGCTACTCCTGATTACTGTACTCAAACTCCATTTCCATACTTATTTGGTGGAAAGTTTATTGGTGATGAATTTAAAACATTAGCCATGTTTACTAATGCATTAGATGGAAAGATTCTTCTAGGTGGTAGTGCAAATACCTATTTAAATCCTGTCTTTTTTAATTATGATCAGCGAGATGCTTTTATTATGAAAATTTCTCCAACAGGGTATGTCTATTGGGTGACACAACTATTTTCTTTAAGAACACAATATGATTAAGTTTCTGCCATAACTTTTACAAATCAGTCTGTTTACGCATTTTATTCCACTTCTTAAATTGCAGATCCCAGCTCAATTGTTTCTTGTTTGGTGAAAATGAGATATTAAGATGGTCAAACTTATTGGATGAAAAATTTCTAAATTAGTTCATTATTTCCTAACGGTAGAATTTATATAAAGGAAGGAAACGATCTTTCATTAGATTCAAAGCCTAAATCTTTCAAATTTGTGCTTTCTTTTATGGGTTATTGGAATGATTAAAATGCTTAATATCCTGGAAATATCTTCTTTCAAGATAGTACTATAGATCAAGGACCAAGTTCCTAGTATGCTTAGCTATTCTATCCAGCAGCTCTACCTGCCTCGAAAACTTATCATGGATAATCACTCTTTGACTTTGAGACAGATTATGTCTATGTAATAAATATATTAAAATTAATTTTATCTTAAATAGGTAACTCAGCAAGGGTATTTCACTTCAAATATAGTAGAAGATTTGATTGTGTTAAAATAATAAACAATCACAGGAAGTATTTAATGGAGTAGAATTTACAATATGGATAGCCCATCAATGACTGGAATAACAAGAAGTTATCCAGTTATAGCATAAAATAACAAAACTAAGGATATATATGTGGCATAAGCAGGAGGTTATTCTCATCTAGTTAAAATTAAAAATGATGGCATGACACTTAAAAGAGTTTATGCAAAAACTTCAACTTCTAATACAGTAAAAAGTATAAACATTCTAATTGATACAAAAAGAGATTAAATAACTGTGGTGTGCTTAACAGAGCTAACAGGTTCAATAGAGATTATGACACTTGACTCTAATTTTAATGTGGTTTCAAACTTATACAAAGAATACACTAATATCATTTCAGCTGGTTTAGTATTTACAACCTTAGTAGATGACTACTACTATATCACTTTTAACATTTTAGACTTTGGAAATACATTTCATGAAAGTAACACATTGATATCTAAAAAATCAGTTAATGCTGAGGAGCATGGAAGACATTAGTGTCTGACAATGGAGGAATCTTTGAATTAATATAGTTTATTGTATACTTTCCCAATTAACGATGCCTCGATGCCATTATATGTCTTAATGACTGTTACTTAACCTCTTGTAGTGAATGATGCTTACCTTATGATCGCTATTTAAGCAGAGAGTATCAAGTCAAATAAATTATTGCCAAGACCATTTCCATTAGACCAGAATTTAGTCAAAACCTCAGATAGTTCTATTCAACTTAGTTGTAAATTTTATTCAAGTGGTTAAGGTCCTCCAGCAAACTATCTTCCTGTATTTTACATAAGTTATTAAGATACTAAGATTTTTTCAGTTCAAGAAAATAGTTATAGAAACTGTTTCTCATACAATATAAAATATAAATAAGATCTAGATACTTTCAACCAAGCTAGTACTTCTATCATGCCAAAATATCATACAATTCAAGCTAACTCGATAACAGTCATTTCATAAGGATTTGCATTTTATAGAAATCTTTAAATTAATTAGCCCTGCCTTTACACTAATTCCACAATCTGCGAGCCCTACGCTATTTGGCCAATAATAGTGAATCTTTATACTAATGAAAAAATAAATTAAACAGCTCCTGTTGCAACATGCTAAGGTTCTTATAACTACCCAAAAATTCTGTTTTATTCCTCTGAAAGCATAAAAAATATAGCAATAACATTAAGAGGGTCAGATGTTCATTAGCCAACTGGAAATTATTTAATGTGTGGTTAAATAAACAAAAATATAAATAATGACTTTAAGGATAATTAAAACGTTGGCTATATTTAGTTAGCAGATTTAAATGGAAAAATCTAATGGAGTTTAACTCATACTTCAGTTCAATCAGGAATTGATTCTTAATATATAGATTGTTATTTTGGGAATTCTTTCCCCAATTATGTTTTTAGTTTTTACCATCAATCTAATGATGTGTTAGGAATTATTAACTAAAATTACGATACTGGTGATATGTACTATATGAAAAAGATAACAGGATTATACTCTTATTCTTTAACAAGTCAAACAAAAGTGTTCTTTGATAGTTAATAGAACTCAGCTTATGTTACCGGAACCAGAATGGATTAAACTACTGAATAATGGACTAATTTCATATTGAGAATAGATTTATCAAACATAAATATGGCCGTACAAAGATATTGGTCATATCTTTAATATTCTGGGGCTGTATAATAGAATGATCAAATATTTCACATTGATTTTTCAAAAGTTAATGACTTTATGTACTCATTAAGCATAGTCACACTTTCAAGCTAAAATATTATATAATTAACTCAATATAAAAGAACAAATGGTTAATATATAAGGTCAAGACATCAACAGTATGATAGCAGTTTGAAAAAACTTCATGTTGATTCAAATGGTTAATTATATCAAACCATGGGATTTGTAGACGGCTCAAACACTTATTTTAAAAGGACACTTTTACAGTATGATTAAAATTTAGGACTAGTTTAAGGGATGGATTTGAAGATATTACTTTCTTATAAACAAGGAATTTATGAATCAGACCTGACTAGTGATTCTACCTTCCTATATGAATTCTTTCATTTCTAAGGAAAATATTTCTTCATCACTAAGGTATTGAAAGCTAATTTATCCACCATAAAATTTCAAATGTAAGAATCGAATCTTTTATTCATTATAAAATGATATACATCTTAAATATTGAACATTTTATAGGTCCTTAAACTCAGATACTACAGCTTCTACTTTTGCAAAAATTTATTTATGGTCAGATAAACTATTCATTTTCTTCTAATCAAATAATTTCTAATGTAAACTTTGTCATATATAATTTTTATAGCTTCTTTTATACCCTTTGAGTCAATAGTTAACCTATTAGATCAGGATTTTACTCATGATATATCTTGTATATAATACATTGACTAAGCAATAGACTAACAATCATATTCAACTTAACTCAACGATTTATCCTCTGGCATTGCTCAAAATTTTTTCTAAGGAGATTTCAGGTTGATGGGATTGACAAGAACCTATATGGAGAAAATAATTGGAATTTTTACTTATATCAAATTTTATTAGGCTAATCTACAAGGTTGTCCAAATATACCTAATACTTTCAATCCACCAAGAACAACTTAATGGGTAATACCAACAAGTTTACCCTATACTATCGCTTTACCACTGAAAGCTCTTGAGAATTGTGTGGGAGCTAAAATTTCTGGTAAAAATAATTTGGATGACTTTACAATTTCACCAACAGGTTTGAAAAGATTTTTAGGAGGATAATTTGAGTTTAAAATTCAGTATACTTACGACTATGGTACATATCTATTCTACGAATTTTATAATGGAACTGATTTTTTCATCAGCGAATCAAGAACTATAGTTGAGATATATCCTTCATAAGAGTATGGAGTATCTTTAGTAAGATAAACATGCCCAACTTCTGTTTATCCAGCAATTTATGGACTCAATAATTATCTCGCACTGCATATGGACTATGATTCAACTTAAGATAATCTTCTAATCTGTGGTTAAACATCATCTATTTTTACTATATTATCATAAACTGGTGGATTTTTATCCCTCTACTCCACATCTTTTCAATTGATATACCATCTTTACATATAACTTAGTATCAATTCTAATGTTCAAACAAAATACTGCGCCTTTGGAAATGACAACAATATATACTCAGTCGTTTATAAACAAAAATCCACGCTTACAGTTGGTGACAACGAATATAAAACTTTTCTTTTTAAGCATACTTCAAAGGGCAAATTTCTTGCTGGCAAGTAATTCATGCTCTAAGATTATTTGATGCACACAACTGAAATACATTAATTAGATACTTCAACGAGTGATATATATCTTATGGGCAAAATAATTAAGCAGGTTTCAGCATCAATACAATCTAGTAGTGGGTACCTTGTAAAGATAGATTAAAACTTTAATGTTCTTAAATATATCCTAATCAAAGATCATGATGATACCCAATCATTATAGTTTCATGCTCTTGCTATAGATAGTTCAAATCAATAGGCATACATCACTATTTCAGGCTAAAGAGTTACACCTTATCCTTATTTAATATCATTTTCAAAGATAAGTTTTCTTGATGGAGCTAAGTAATGGTCTAAATATTTTAAGCATACTCAATCTTCTTGGGAAATCTAAAGGCGTTCAACAGATAAATCGTATTAAAAGTTTAGTTTAGCTTTGATATAAGACAGATTATATTCATGTATAGTTGTTTAATCTAGTAGCACCTAGGAAATATTCCTAGGTAAACATTATCCTTCTGATGGTACAATTGATAGTAAAACTGAGTTACAATTAGTGGGATTAACTAATAATGCTTGTAATTTGCATTATCATGAATCTTCTGATACCATACTTATGGCATACGGAAAATTAGGAACAATGTATGTAATGGGATTTAGCCCCTCATCATTTACATTCAATACTAAATAAATTAGATTCTCAAATACAACTGCTGATTACGATTATGCTATATTTTCAAGTACTTCAAGCATAGCTTATATGCTTATTGTATCACCAACAAATTAAGTTATTTCAAGAATGAGTGATTTTTCTAATTTTGTCTTGCAAGAAACTTGCCAAGTAAGTTCAGTATCAACTTCATGGTAATCTGCACATTTAATGCCTAATGGTTACAGAGATAGTATGAGTCAATATTACATTAATAATCCAGATTTCATCTCATCATTAGAACAGGTGTAAGATTGGTCATAATACTTTACTGATCCAACTAAATTCAGAATATATACTAACCTAACTTTTGGAAATGTCCAGCCCAGAATATTGATTGGAAATTGTTATTCAGCTGCAGCTCCTGTAATTCCAATAATACCAAGTAGAACTGGTCAAAGAGTAAGTGATTCACTAGGAGGATTCGTTGTTGGTATAAATGCATCAATTACCGTAGGAATAATCACTTAATGCTCAAATATGAAACTTAACATTACCTTTATCTCCACACCAACTGCAGGCTCTTGGTGCTTTAATTACAATTCAACTAGTTCTATAATAACTGTAATACCTACAAATAATTCTTGTGCTGGTAGTTTTAATCTTTAAATCAAAGCGATTGTTATTGAATAAACTTCAGTTTCGACACTTTCTAATGTGTTTTAATTTGATGTCGAAAGAAACTATCCTCCAACTATTATAATGAATTTTACTACGACAGTAACAATGTTTGCTCATCATAACTATACTTGGAATGTGTTTGTAGATGAAGATAAAGAAGGTGATGAACCAGTAGCAACAGTTAGTATTTTAGACACAAATTTAAATCCAGTTACATTTGCCAAGCAATGGTTTACCTTTACCAAAATTGGCAAAAAACAGATTAAAGTTAATGCTATTGATGCTCCACAGCCTCCAAATGGATTGAATTCTATTACTTATAAGATCAAACTATCTGTATCTGATTCATTTAATTTAAACAATCCTAATGTCTACTATATAGACTTAACTATAATTAGAAATTATCCCCCAGTATAAATTACGCCTATTCAGTTAATCATTCCAGCAATTAAAGTTCCTAAATCATTTGCTCATACTTTTTGGTATGATAACTTTTAAGATTAAGAAGGAGATTTATTTAATATTTCATGTGTTGCAAGTACTACCAATGCATTAAATGCTAACTGGATTAAAATTGATTATAATAAAACGGTTTTAGGTAATATAACAATCTATGGAAAATGTCCATCAATTATTACCTACGCTGGAAATTATAAAATAACTTGCAAAATTTAAGATTTAGACCCTATTGCTTTTTTATCTATAGAATTTACGCTCATTGTCCTTAAAAAAGACCCTGTGTAAATTTTGAATCCTTAAATTGATTAAAAATATTTAATTCCTGAATCCGGTGTGATAATATACAATCTCTACGATGATTCTGGAGTTGTCATTTAATCAACTATGTATGTGAATGGTACAATTTATAATCCAGTCCTTCTAGCTGGTTGGATTGATTGGTATCCTTTAGTGCCAAAAATAATAGTATCACCAACTATTAATTCTCAGCAAGGTAATCATTCTGTATGGCTAAAAATTGAGGATAAAATATTAGACCCTATATGGAATAATTTTACGATAGAAATTTAGGAGAACTTGCCTCCTTATGCGATTAAACAACTTAAAAACATGAATAAGATAGCAAATAACAGATTTCAAATAGACTTTAATTTAAATGAGTTGTTCACAGATCCGGAAAATCTTTAGATGACTGGAAATTTAGCAACTGCAGGTGGAGGAAATTTACCATATTTTTTTACATCTAAATTCAGTAATGGAACTGTAATAGGATTTACAACAAGTGATGATGTTGGGATTTATGCATTAGAATGTGTTGTATTTGATAACGCTAAGCAATCTGCCAGGATACCCTTTTTCTTTTAAGTTATAGGTAACTTATATTTACTAATAGACCAATTTAGCTTGTTATTATACATGCTCGAATTGTTGGAATTCTGATTATAACTCTTGCTTAGAATGCCAAGAAAATTACTTCTTTTCTAATAACGAATGCTTAGAATAATGCACATCAGGTTCATATGGAGATGTACCTTCAAGAACTTGCATAAAATGCCCAATTTAATGCAGATCCTGCTTCGGATCTGATCCTTCCTAACAATGTTCCGAGTGCAACAATGGATTTTTCAAACTAAATGATGGGTGTTTTGAAAAATGTCCAGACGGATACTTTGGAGATAAAACTGACAGAAAATGTAAAAGTAAGCAAAAGATTGTGTATGTAACTAATATAGAGTGCCATAAAGCTTGCTCAACTTGTTATGGATCATTATCTACTTAATGCTTTACTTGCAATGAGCTAATATAAATGAATGAGTTTGACTAATTGGCAAGACAAGGATATGTTTTATAATCAGGTAGTGAATGCAAGATTCCCCAGTGTTTATTAGGCTAGTACTTTTATTGGTATCCAGAAATGGTTGGAAATCAGTATATTGGATACTGTAAAAATTGCCATGAAACTTGTTTAACATGTATTGGAGAGAGTTCAAATGAATGCATCCTTTGTCAGCCAGCTCATTTTTACAATAGTTAATCCCATACTTGCACAAAATGTGAGGACGTTGCTGGAATGTATACAAATGAAGAAAATGAATGCGAGGAAATATGCGGAGATGGAATTATACTTAATAAACAATGTGATGATGGCAATACAATAACAGGAGATGGATGCAGTAATGAATGTTTAATGGAATATGGATTTGAGTGCCTTACTGCAAACTCAATATGCAGAGAAACAATACCTCCCACTATGAAAGTGGTGATGGTAAGTTCAACAAACTTAGTCTACTTAGAATTTTCAGAGTATGTGTTTATTGAAGAAGAAAAAGATCTTGCAAAAGACAATTTTCAAATTTAGTTGAATTCAGTTGATGGAGGTATTTCTACTAACTTTGATTACAGAATTGTTGAGGATCCAGATCAATCGTTAATTCCAAATAGAAAAATCAATAAATTGATGATAAAATTATAAGAAATAAAATAGTCAATCTTAGGTTCAGAAAGCTTATTGATTTCAATAAAAGATATAAGTAAAATAAAGGATGGAAGTGGTAATTAACTTTTAGACATTGAGCAAGTAACTAATCCTGCACCTTATACTTACTTATCAGCTACAGAAAGAATGGTATCAAATAGTGGTGGATAAACTATTAAATATACGTTTTTATCAGTTTGCAGTTTCAATCTCATATTAAAGGTAATTATGAATAGTACAATGCAATTTATATGGGGTCTCGTTCATTCACTTTAAGTCTTTACGCTTTTGCTTTATATCAATATTGAATTCCCTGAAAATGTGATTATATTTTCTAATTATATGTAAGTTGCTTCGGGAGATGTTGATGAATTTAAAGGATTTATCCCTAATATCTCAGAATATTTAATTGACAAGGATTAGATATATGAAAAAGATGATGATAGGCTTTTGTATTATAAATTTAAAGAAGATAAAATATCACCTTATTTTATAATAGCTTATGGTTAAAAGCTAACATTATGGGCAATCGGATTGCTTGCTATTCTGCCTGGAGCCTTGCTTTTGAATAAACTTTGTAAAAATATAAAAATATGGGAGGAAATGGTTAGCTAATTGTTTTTCAATGGCCCACTAAGAGCATTTATAGAAATGTATCTAGAATTAATCGTATAAATTGTTTTGAACAGTAAATTTCTTAAAGTGAGGAATATAAGCATGATATTAACTTCTGGATTAGCTTTTGTAGTCGGATCATTTGCTTTAGTGCTTCCCTTTTTACTTATGACCATTGTCTATCATAATAGAAGAGTGGTAAATAAAGAAACTTGGCTAAACAAATTTGGAATGTTAACATATGAAGTAAATAATAAGGAAGTTCTCCAAATGTACTATTATCCTTTATTCATCTATTAAAGACTTATAATAGCAGTTGTAATAGTTTATGGAACTTAATACACAATTCTATAATGTCTTATTGTAATTTTTTGCAACCTAGCTATGATAATATATCTGGTAAGCCAAAGACCATTTAAGGAAGAGAGCCAGTAAACAACGATAGTTTTGGATGAAATTGCTGTTACTATATGTGTGATAATCTTTATGGTAATTGAAATAAAGTAAATCAAAGGTGATTAATTAAAGAACATTGGATTTGTCATATTACTGTTTATTGTAATAAGTGTATCTAAGAATTTTGCAATGGTGATTTATTTCGGGATGTAGTAAGCTCAGGTTAAAATCAAATAGATGCTGCACGCGGAAGATTAACAAATTGATTCAATTGACTCATCTTTAGATAGCAGCGATGAAGAAGATCATGATAAAATAAGAGACAGCGAGCAAATAAGTACTACAATGATGATGTAGGAAATCCTAAAAGATGATTAAGCTAAATATCATTATCAATAATAAATAACTTCATAAAAGGCAACAACTTTACGTAGAAAAAGATTTAATTTAAGCGAGATTATTACTGACAGAGCATTAATGAATTTAGATTAACCTTAAAGGATTGATTTTAATAAGTGATCAATAGTAATAAATGATGATAATTCTATAAACAAAGATAAAACTAAGTACCAAGTAATCCTCAAATCTTGAACATTATTTGGAAAATGAAATTTAAGAATGATATGAGATTAATTGATTTAAGTTAGAGCATAGATCAAAAATAGTAAATTTTAACATAATCTTTAAATCTTAGATTTTTATTAATTAAAACCATAATGATTAAATTTGAATCACTAAAAGTTTAAAAATTTATTTATATATATATAGAATA